TACAGTGAGACTACTTTTTAGTTTTTCTCTCCGCCGCCAGGGTTTGTAAAATGCAATGCAATATAGGAAAACTGCGTACTGCGTATTAAATTAAGGAGAAAATTCTGTAGAATTAAAGTAGATTACATTTTTTTGTACATAAGGAAAGATAGATATTAAAAATGTGCTTTTAAAATTTTATCCTTCAAAAATATATAAAATTTTCCAATATTTAATTTTGAAAAAATTATATGCTAAGAACTAATATAAATCGACAACATCCTCGAATTTCGTCCTTCTAGCTTTTTAAGCTATAAAAAATAAAATTTATTAAAGTGGCATGTGAACCAAACAATTTAAATTTTTCTAAAATCTAATCTACAGAATTTTCTTTTTCATTTGGTACTCATATTGTTATTCTGCATTGAACTTAGTTTTTTTTAATAATTTTTGGAATATCTTTAAAGCTACAAAGTTTGAAATTTTGATGTACATTTGATGAAAGTCGCCTAATTTTTATAAATCCTATACAAAGTTTGAACTTTTGACTTACGTGGTTTTTGTTGGCTAATTATCTATACTTTTATAAAAAAGGATAAAAATTAAATAAACAAAAGCAAAATAGCCAAAACTCGTTAAAATGTCGCGTCCATATTTGCTTGTTATCTTCACGCCCAGAGCTGCATGCTTCTGCAGAGCCCAGAAAAACTTGATGGCGAAACTAAATTTAGCTTATCGACAATGTTTGGACCTCTTTCTTCAGCGCACGAGGCCACCTTTCTATTCTAGCACTTATTTTATTGTCTTTCCCTTTATCTAGAGTGTTCCACAAGTTTCCCAACTGCCCTTTTCCAAGTGTGATAAGCAGCAGGAACTCAAAGAGCCAGTGGAGAGAAGATAGTATGCCTTCCTTAAGAATGCCTCAGGTGGTTCCCAGATTCTGTACTTTGAGTACTCTGCTCCCAAGCCTGCAGAAAATCTAGCTTACTATCCTTTTGTCTGGACATTAGTCCGATTTGCTATTAAATTTACTTTGATTAGTGCTAACTGGAAAGTGGGAATTCATAAAAATCTTAAATGGCTAGAGACCGCCCAAAAGCTGGCTGCCCTTATCCCCCACTCAAATCAGACCAAATTATCATCTTCCGGAGCTTCAAAGCCGCATTTCAGTAATCTAACTATAGTTTTTTTTGAGGCTACTAATTACCGCTGTGGCTAAGTGGTTAGACGTGCGTGCTACCACTCCGTAGAACCTGGATTCAGTCCCTGATCCTTACAGCATCTCAAATTAGAAAAAAAGGGTATAACGTCGACAGGTAATGGCAAACCCCCGCGTGCATTTCTGCAAAAAATTAAATAAAATTCTTTTTCCGTTCGCAGGCGGCGCACAATGGTCTAAATAGAGAACCTACCGCGTCAAAAGTATTTAAACAGGGTCGCGTTTATGGATTTGCACACCACTTCGTATCCACTACTTTATGTGTCCACTGACTACAAATCTTCAGTCAGGTTTCAAAAATCGAATATGGCGGCTCCAATGTGACGCACAAATTTTTCAAAATTTATTGAATTTGTTCAAAACTTGTTACTAGGGGGTTTCTGGGGTCGTGGATTATGAATCTGACCATGAATTTTTAATTAAAAATGGCTGATCCAATATGGCTGACAAATTTTTCAAAATTGATTGAATTCGCTCGAAACTTTTTACTCGTGGGTTTTTGCGGTTGTTGCCGCGATATTGGAGCAACCGCAAAACCGCGCAAAAAGAGTATATGTATTTATAGTTCACAGAATTAGTTTTTTCAGTTTTCTAGTCGGAACTCAGCGAAACTATTTAATTTTTCTTTTATTTGAAAATGCAATTAAAATAATTTCAAGTTCAACTTTTCACGTTGAATTTGCGGAGCTATAAAAAAGTTATTTACCAAATTTAAGAATTTATGAAAGAATTTTTCTATTACCGATAATCACTTCTCTTCATGACATGAAAATTTTGTAATAGACGCACTGTTACACTTTTAATAGCTAATCAAATAGCACGAAAAAAACCGTTTTTCTGGTACATCTAATTGACTTGCATCGACTAGCCAACTTATAAGCTTAATATTTTTTTTTATTATTGAAAGACATCAAAGAACAAAATATGAATCACAGTTATCTATTGTATTAAGAAGTAAGCCATGCCATTTTGACCTAATTCGCATGACTTTGATTTTTACATTTTGTCCCGCTAGTTTAGTGAATCCGACCTGTGTGCGGCGTAAAAATGTAAGTTCCGCCATTTGTGCAATACCATCAAGACGTACGCCACAAATTGGAGGAGAAGCTCGGCCAAACACTTTCATATATTTTTTTTTTTTCAAAATTACCTTGCAGCAATGGGCCATGACTTAACTTTTTTACCCAAAGACACGCGGCAAAACTAAATAATGCATCCTTCAAATGCCCACTGGGCTAAGTATTTAGGTAAGCACTAGCATAAACCACTTTTTTGTAGAACTGGTATGATAATATCAATTTGATTCTACTACCCATTCAACTATTCATCTAAGTCGTTTAAGTTCGAAAAGTAAATAACAACAAAAGTCGTTTACGCGTTTGTCATTTATCACAAAGAGCACACGAACAGCCATAATATTAGCATAGAAAAAACAGCAACAACAAACAAAAAGAAAAATTGCAAAGAATTAAAAAGAAAAAATAGCTAAATAAAACAAAAGCAAGAACAATAAAAAAGTATTGCATGTGCTCACCCGAACAATCGTCACTTAATACATAACTCGTACCAAAAAAAAAACAAAAAAAAAAAGTGTTTAGCAAAAGCAACAAAAGCTTGCATTTCAACAAATATTTATCTTTATTTATGTATCTTTGTTTTTAGTAGACTTACTAAAAAAATACTCTTAGGCATGCATACATACATATGTATATACTATGTACAATATATGTATGCCATTGTCTACGTAGTGCAGTAAGTTAGCATTAATATATGTATTTAACTTTTGTTGTCTACGTTTTGGGCTCTATTCATTCGCAGTACATAAATGCGAGGATTGGCGGTTCGATTTGCAAAGATGTCAAACAACTTTACTTCCGAGTTTTTAAGCTAATTTATTTAGATATGTGTCTACCCATGTGGACGTGCAGTTTGGTGAATCAGATCTTCGCACACTCTGCAATTTTTTACGGTGTGTTTAAAATTGTGTTGTATACGGGTATGTATATAAATTTTTAGCCATGTTTAAAGAAGTTTTTACTTAGAGAATATTGACCTTCGTTCAGTCAGTATGATACCTCAATGCAGTCGCGTTAGTGAAATGTCCGAAAAAGGAACAGTCCAGCGACTTCGTCTTGGTCTACAGGCTGTATCGGTGACATAGCCGCTAAATTTAAACGTAGAATACGTGATATGGTTAAGAGCAGTTCCAAGTCAAAAATGCAAGCACATACTAAGAAAAGAATATCGATAACAAAAGCGATAATAATATCGATAGCAAAATCTATACAAATATCGATAAATCTATAAAAAAATCGACAACAAAATCGACTAAAATATCGATTATTGTATCGATAAGTCCCGAGAATTCCGAAAATCTCTAAAATCCCGAAATAGTTCACAGATTGAGTCTCTGTCTATATCCTTTTCTCTCTAATTACCTTTATTTTCATCTTTCTTCTTGTATCTTCATCTTTACTTTTATCGGTATCTTCATCCTCATATTTTCCTTTATATTTATCTTTGTTTTTACTTTCATGTTTATCATATTCTTTATCTACATATTCCCCTTTGCCTTTTATAAATATTGCTCCATCTGTTACTGAAAAGTCGAAATACCTAAATACACATACTTTTTGTCTCCTTCTCATACTTCCAAAGCAAGCACTCTAAGAAGAAGAAAGCGGTAAACTTCTTCACGGACGGATAAAAATATGGATACAGGGTTGGTGGAGGTTTATTCTGTCGGAAAATTCTTCCGGAATAGAAGACGTTTCTCTGCCGCAGAAAATATTTTTACAGATCATTTAAAAATACTTTTTGAAGCGCAAGACACGAGTGACCATCGTTACCCCTTAAAGGTGCCAGATACCACATTACTTGTCAAAGGCTGGTGATGGGGGTTCTGAGAGGCTATTGTGCGGTAATACTAGGAATTTCAACTGATCCCTTTGTATCAGCTGTCAGAGGAAGACGAGGTGGAATCATCTCAGCATCAGGAAGCATTTTGGCCAGCACTTCTTAACTAACACTGAGCTCTGAGGAATCGAAATTAGCCGCATTAGAAATTCGGTAATCGGGACGCGTTGTTTTACCGACTAAATTAAGGTTCTCCGTTTAGTGTTTTCATGGTGGCACAAATGCCAATCTCTTAACCGTCCAAGTGGGTCTGTTTTCTGGGGCAACCACTTTAGCCTAACCCAACCTAAGCTGTACTTCTTTCAGCTATGAAATAGTTGATCACATTAGTCATATAGTGCAAACATACTTCAAATAAGTTGGGTATCAGGTCACAAAAACAAAATCTGGCCGATAAATAACTTTAACGAAGAAGCAAATAGAAGTGAATCGTAGCAGATGTGCCACTGTCGGCCATTGAAGAGGATTCTTCGGCATTACAGTACAGTATTTAGGACTACGTATGCTTCATGAGAACGATGAATTAGTTAAACTCTTCGAAAGATGGTAAATGTGAGAAATATCAAATATGGAAATAGACCCATCGTACCCTGAGTGTGCCTCCATCTCGGAGCTGGACGAGTGGATTGGCGATAACCTTATGGCTCGAAAAACGGATATTTCAGGATAAATGTGGAGGTTACTAAAGGTCAGCTTCGGCAGCATTGCACCTCTGGAACTAGCAACCACATCATTAAGAAAAAGTTTTAAGTACAGTTTTTTATCAATAAGATGTTCCCCAAGTGCTCATTTTAGAGTGATATAAAATTAATGGCCTGGCATTACTCGTAGTCATTTAGGAGTTATTATCAAAGAGCGTTTTAAGTGTATTCTTAAGACTTAGTCTTCATTTATTCAAGTACTCACCCTTATCGCCTTCATCGTAGTATTCCTCCTCCTCGCTCTCCTCCGCATCGTAGTCCAGTACAGCATGCACCTGTGTGCGTGAGCCCTGGCCGGCCTGAACGCGCGTAAAGCCAGGTGGACGATGAGGAAATGCATCGTTGTCAGCCCCGCCATCATCGCCACTATTACCACCTGTCGCTGCTACGCCCTCATCGCCGCCACTCAAGTCACCATCCGTTCTGACCGAGGGCGCGGCGGCTGCACCATAAACCGCAGCCGGTTGTGGTAGAGGTGCTGGTGGAGCTTCGGTATCTGGCGCGATGTTACCAAAACTCTGTTGGCTAGTCTGCGTTTGAGTCTTTGACTGCGATTGAGCGGCAAATGACGAAGTGCTGTGAGTGTAGCAATTATAATATTGCTTTTGTTGTTGTTGTTGCTGTTGATGACGTTGTTGTTGCTGCTGTTGTTGTTGTGGTGTTGCTGCGCCTCCAGGCCCAAAACGATTATACGAACCTTCACCGTAGGTTCTAGTCGAAGAAGCTGCCGCCGAGGAGGAGGAGGCGGCAGCGGCAGCAGACGATGCGGAAGTGGCTGCCTTGAAGGCGACATTGTTGCCATTAATTTGTTGCTGCTGTTGTAGTTGATGATGCTGCTGTTGCTGTTGTTGCTGCTGTTGATTTATGCTGAAATGACTATAATGCTGTTGATGGTGTTGCTGTTGTTGTTTTTGGTTATTAAATTGTGTATTACGCGCGCCGGGTGGCGGTATAGGCGGTAAGTAGGTGTTGCCGCCTTTCAGCCGATTACTATTATTATTATTATTATTGTTATTATTGCTATTGTATTGATATGATTGACGTATGGACTGCTGTTGTTGTTGTTGTTGCTGCTGATGCAGCTGTGGTGGCGCATATGGATTATTTTTGTAGAAGTCTGACTCAGGTGGCGGCGGCGCATCGTCACCCTGTTGCTGTTGATGATCGGCCGGCGAGTAGAGTAAATTGTTGGTATTAGCGGCCAGCTGATGAGCGGGATGGAGGGGCGGCAGTGTGGTACCCCACGTTGGCACTGGTTGCACTAAAGCACCAAAGGGCAGCGAAAAGTTCGTTAGCGCCATTTGTTGTGTTAGTCACTGGGTTTTTAACTGGTTTTCGAATGGTTGCGCTTTGTCAGCAAGCGACGCGGAACGGCATTTTTTCACGCGAGCGATATTTAATTGGAATTCCTTTAGCAAAGCGTGCTGCTGTCAGTTAAACGAACGTTTATTTTTTATTTAAATTTGCTCGAGTTGTTTTTGATTAACTTAATTGCGATTTGATTCTGAATTGAAAATTTAAAAGAAAGTTGCATATGAACAAATAGCGGATGTTTTGTTGTTATTTTAATAAATTTTCGGCGACTTTGGAGAGCTTTATTTTGCTGACGTACTAAAAATTTAGCAAATTTTAATTTTGAATTTTTGTTAGATGACGTTTTTATGAAATGCTAAGCTCTCATAAATTAAACATTGCCTTTTTTTTCTTTTACAAATTTAAGTTTCAGACATTTTTTTATTCAACTCTTTTACTTTATGCGCATCTATGCTTAAAATGTATTTTTTGTTTTTGTATTTTTGAAACACGCACGTTCAAGCCTGAAATTTATGAATGTAATGAGTTAAAAAAAAACAAAAGGGTCCAGTTTTTAGCGCTTCATAAGTGCCACTAGTGCCCAAAAAAGTTATTCAAATCACTGGTAATTATTTGAATATTAACAGGTTTGGATGTCTTCTATGGCTAGCATTTATGAATTATATTTTCCTCGTTGCAAAAATGATAATAATTTAAAGTATATTTTTAATCGATAGTCGTTATTCAACTCTTTATAGACACATATTTTGTGGATTACTTTAGTTTGAATTTATGCAAAATCGATATTTTGAGAAAATCATCAGCACTTGTGGCAAAAAACGACGTTCGTTTGTCCCATCGCACAGTACGGCCGATATCCAAAAGTGTGGCCAAAATTCGGAAATAAAAGTTTCTAGATAGAGCTTTTTCATTATTTAGTTAGTTGGTTAAAGGGATCCTCTAAAAAAGTTATAAAAATGTAAAAGTACATTGAGTAAAGGAAATTAAACAAAACCTATGGTATCAACACGTAACAGAAATTTTTTATAAAAAGAAATATAAGGATATTTTTTTGTTTTTTTTTTTACAAAACTTTAGTTGCCAAATGAAACAGTAATAATACTCTGTCGAATGCTGCCTTTAAACCTATTGGAGGTTACTAAGAAAAGTATTAGCTATTGAATAAAATAAAACTCAGCTGCTCAAATCTGCTACTGAAATTTCAGTGCATTTTTTTTTAACACGCTTATATTAGCTTCACCTGCAAGCAAAAACTTCGAGCTTTTTTATTAGATTTTACAGAAATATTTTGAGTTTGCAGTTTTGTAAATATTTAATCCAAAAACTCATAAATTTGTATCCCTTTTTTATATTTTTACTATGGTATTCCCAGTATATGTACAGAGGTCACGGTCTTATTTTTACCGAAGGCAGGTAAACCTGAGCAGAAGCCTTCATCCAAAGGGCGTGGAGAAAATCTTGGATCAAGTCGTCTGAGAAGTCAACATAAAGGAACAACCATGTGGTAGCGTTGAAGTACCACACAACAACATCAAAACTATTGAACGACTGCCCTAAATGCTCTTGAAATCAAGAACACTGTATTACTGGCTGAGTGCAGGGACATGAGGTAAATAGGCGGCCCGCCTAGCAAAACACGGAGCTACCGCTATATTCCATGGCCCGAAACCCTTTTGCGGGTTCACCAAAGCACACTCAAAAGAGATCATAAACAAGTGTTTGGACAAATAATTCCATAGGGGTGAAGGTCCAGGGTAAATTCAAGCTAAGCAGTTCATCTGTCCATCATAAGAAGATTCAAAGAAAAATGTAAAAGAAATATTTTTTGAAAACAAGTTTTTATTTATCACGTACAATCAAAGGAATAAAATAAAGTAGTGTAACAATAGATTTTTTAGCAAGAAAATTTTGTCAAAACTGCACTAAAATGAATAAAATAAAATAAGTTAAGGTCTCGTTAAAGTTACTAAAAGCCATTTCGTGAAAGGAGTTATTCAAACTCGAATGAAAATTACTAACAATTTGTACTAATTTACTTCGTTTTTAAAAAAGCTTCACGAGATTCATATCTAGACTAGGTTGATATCTAGAATTTTCTACAACTAGCTTTGCTACACTACCGCCGGCAGCTTTAACAATTTTATAGTGGTTTTACGTTCTTTGGCAAATTACGCTCTGTTAGTCATAAATCTTACTATTTTTTGACCGCCTTTGAATCAAGACCCCTGGACCGTATAAGGAATTCATATATATTTTAAATTGCATTGTCATCGTGATTGGAACTATGCTGAAAATTTCAAGTCACTAACTTTAGTTAGTTTAAAATCGATTAGAAATTTTCGCGATTTCCGCGGGATGACCAAGTTAAATAAAAGCTTATAAAAAACCTCATAAATCTAGGCAGGGAGGACCTTCGAACTCTCACTGCGTACCTCACGGGACATTGTTGACCTCTGTAAAATTAATCTTTCAGGCACGAGCGTCTGTTGTTTCTATGAGATGGACGAGGAAACACGAGAACACACCGTTGGTGAATGTGTGATAAAAATATCCGATTATTTATTTAACCATTTTTGTATAGTAACGATTTTTTATGGGTCCTCCTTGGCATTTTTTGGGTCTTGGGGAACCTATAAAAATAGTTAATATTACAAAATACATAAATAAATAAATAATTGGTTAGAAACAGAGTTTTCCGATAAAAAATATTGATTTACAAGAATTTTTTACTACTTCGACGAAAAATCGTTTTTTTTCATTTAAAATACTTGGAAAACTTTAAACGCTTTGAGCGACCTCTAAATATTTTTAAATTTCAGAATAAAAAATTAGGATGTGAGAGCATCAAAATTTCGACTATCCTTTTTTTTTGAACCACCTTAATGTATATACAATATAATGCAAAAATTAAAATTCTAAAATTTAAAGAAATTGAAATAAAAATTGTTTAAGATACTTTTCTCGAAAAGCCCTGTATGTAGGTTTATCATTTTTGAATTTTTAGAAACTAGAGACAATATACTTTTAAAATTGGCAAGATTTTCCAATGTCCGGCAACCTTTCATTTAATCTTGCTTCAGACGCACCGTGACCAATGGATCAAAAAAAAAAAAAATATAGTTTGAAGTTTGTAAAAAAATAATGAGTTAACAAAAGTATATACAATAAAAATGGGAAATTAAAACAAAAAAATCTCAAACTGCCACTCGAATTCGACAATTACCTCGGCATTTTTGAACAAATTTTATGGTGCAAGTTTTCTCTACTAGTATTTAGTGATTATTATTGTAAATTTTTGTTTGATATACGGACAAGAGACGTACGCTGTATAACTCTTTCCCGCTAGATAGTGACGGCGTGAATTTGTGCATACACCCGGCGCCATTCCGGCGAAATAAGGTCATTCGTTACCCAACTGTCGATTCGATTGAGAATTAAAGGATAAAAATCTTTCCAATTGAAAGTTATTGGCTAGAAATAATAAAAAAAAATCTCATTTGTATCCTTTTTAAAAATTTTCATCATAAACTTTGCATTAATTTTTATTTATGATATGCAGTTCTATTAGAAACAAAGCGTTATTTTGAAAGAAATTGCTGAATTGAAAAGAGTATGTTGAAGTAAAAAAAATTATATGCATAAAAATAAATTGGAAGTTCCTACATATTTTATTTAGAATACTTTCCCAATATCTTTAATATTCTTTGCAAGTTTATTTTAGAAAAAATTCTCCACTTTAAAACCATTTCATGATTCACATATAAAATTTTTTTGTGAATTTTGGGTTTTCGAAAATTTTTAAATATTTCTGCTGTTTCGTGGATTATTCGGCCAGAGTTACGACCCATACTAGGTCACTCGAAAAGTTAATTTTGACTATTATGCATACCGTGCCATGTTCGAAAGACTTAAGCAGCGAACCCGAGTCAGCACCTAAGGCATTATGAATAGAATAATCGTTTCTAATAATAATCACCATGAAAAAAATATTTTTGGGCTCATAAAATGCAAGCACAGAAAAATTATTTGAGTCAGAAGGTTTTTGTTTTGTCTTAACATTTTTAACTATTATGAAGTACTTAAATTTATAATTATAAAAAAAAAATTAAATAGATTTTGAAAGCTTTATAAAGTGGCATTTTCACAAATTTTTTTTTTAAGCAAAAAACATTCCAAACCTATTTGTTTTTTTCTGAATTTGGGTGTACATTTATATTTTTAATATTTGCTGTTTTCAATGAGGTAAATTAATTACTACTTTATTCGCAGATAGTGCTTTTGGCAATTATTTTTGTTTATTAATTAAGAATTTTGTTAAAGCTTGTATTATTTTTTAAGTACATAAGTATGTGTACGCTTTTATGTTTTGCTTTTTACTTCTAGTTAAATTTTATTTTATTTATTTATTTTTCATTTATTCTCCACGCACTTTAAATACGTTTTGCTTAGTTTTTTATCAGCATCCACTTGCATACGCAATAAAATTAACCAACCGTCAGCGTTAACAGCGTCTGCCGAGTATTCTCAGCAACTCGCACTTAGCCGCAAAAATTCTAATTATTTCAACAAACAATCAATCCACGACGGCATAAATGCTAAGTACAAACACACACACGTTCGCTACAAATTTGCGCGCCCTCGAACAAAAATATGCAAAGTACGGAAAAAACATACACACAGGCATGCACGTGTGCGTTCTTCAGCGTTAAAAAATTGTGATTTCAAATTTTTGCTTATTTTTCAATATTTTTTTTTCGAAGCTGTACGCAAATCAATCAATGCCGAAACGATTATGTTGAGTGTTTTTTTGTTTTCTTCTTCTCTAAGTTAAGCACCAAGCGTCGGACCGACCGTTAACGGCGAGTAATCGCAAACGACTGACAAAGCTGTTTGCCTGCGTTAACCCGTTAACACTTTAAGCCACTAACGACAGCACGAAAACTGTAATGAAACAGTCGGAGATATAGACTTATAAAAACACCTCAGTGAATGGGGAGTAAAGAAAATATTGAAAGTAAGTAAAAAAAAAACGAATGCGAAATACTCCCGCTGAGCTGAGGTGCGCTCAGTGGAGAAGCAAGCCATGAGCGCTGCTGAAAAACAGTAATTTTCATATGAAATATGTATGGACATATATTTAAAAGCAGCAAGCACACTTCCATTAGCGAATATCGGCGCCGCTCAGTACTTGCCAGCCTCTATTTATTTATATATGCACATTAGGGTGGTTCTTAAATGTAGAAAGCAAATTTTTACATCAGATTTCCTATGCCTCAATCCCTACGTCGATGCTACTCTAGTCAAAGATATCACATATAAATTTTGGTGCCGATTGGAGACGGTTGAGGCGTTGCGCCCAGAGGGCAAAGTTTAGATTACCCCACGAAAACGTCTTAGCCGACTGCAATCGGGACCAAAATTTACATGTGATATCTTGGACTCTAGTAGTGTGGATTTTGGGTATTAGATAAAAAAAAACTTCATTTTAATTTTTTGAGTCTCTATGGAAGAATCCGAACCTCCGGTTCGACACGCCTTAAGCGTCTTTAATCGGCACCAAAATTTATATGTGATATCTGTGATCATAGTATTACCGATCATTCATTTGATTTTTTTAAGGACCACCCTAATGTAAATACTTAAATACAAAACGCTCTCTATTTGACCACAAAGCAATCGTTTTGAATGCGGCAATGGTAATAAAAAGCAATCATCTGCAAATAAACATTGCCAAAGTCAATAGCACGTAATAACAATTTAACAAAGTATGCAAAGTAGTACAAGAACAACAACAACAACATATAAAGACGCCATACCGAAAGCAAAAGTGATTTTTTCAACAGTTCGATTTTAATTTCAATTTCAGTTTGCTCTCCTGTGCCGCTGCGAGCATTGAATTTTGTCTGCATTTCAGTTTGTGTTTTCGTACTCTTCGGGAAAATTCTCTTTCGCTTTGTATGTGCTCTTATATGCGCTCTTTGTAGTGGCGATAAAGTAATTTTTATTTATTGAAAATTATTGTCAACGGCAACGCTTGCTAAGCGAAGACTGCTTAGGCGAGGGAATTTATTGTTTATATTTTCGCGAGGGGCTGGCTGGGTTCCGTGGCTCAAATTATCACCCTGTAAAGGGATGCCTACTGGTATAGGGTTTGATTACATGGTTTATTATAATGTTAGTTGTGTGCTTGATTCTGATTATCTCTCTCTACTCTGGTTCTGATTATGAGGCCTTATATTGGACAAAATGAGGAGTGTAAAGGACTCAAAACGGATCCAATGGTTACAAAAGATATGAAATAAATCATCATTATATAAATAGGCAATCATGTTTCCTTTACACCCCTTTTACGGCTAAACTATACTTCTAAGGTATAAACAATTATATATCATTAGAAAGGTATTTTGATGCTGATGTGCAGGCAATTTTTTCAAATTTCAAATTAGTTTAAAATAGAGCGAAAAAATCAATTCAAAAGTCACACCAATACCAATGCCATACATGTACATGGTTGGGGCGGAAATGCCTCCTAAATGTATGCTTTTATATTGATACTGAATTACAGAAACGTGCTAAGCAGCAGTTTAGGAATAAGATGTATGTATGTATGTATGTACATGAACAGATTAGACTCAAACGAGGAAGAAGGTATGGAGTTGAGTATGGAGAAGAAGAAAGGATAAAGCAAAGATTAACAGAAGTAAGAGAAACCGAAACATGAAGACAAAGAGAAAGGTAAATTTAAATTCTTCATAGTATACATATGTAATCGCAAAGATGTGGGTGAATATGTAGATGGAGAAAAGAATGAAGATAAAGATCTGGTTAAAAGTTAAGGAAATGATAAATATAAAAATTAAAAGATAAAGATATAGAAAATAATATATGTAGATAAAGGTAGAGACAAAGACAGAAAAAGAAAGAGATACAATTGAAGAATGACATGTTAAGTTATTTTATGTTATGTTATGTTGTGTTATGTTATGTTATGTTATGTTGTGTTATGGTATGTTATGTTGTGTTATGTAATGTTATGTAATGTTATGTTATGCTATGTTATGCTATCTTATGTTATGTTATGTTATGTCATGTTATGTCATGTTATGTCGTGTTATGTTCTGTTATGTTATGTTGTGTTATGTTATGTTATGTTGTGTTATGTTATGTTATGTTGTGTTATGTAATGTTATGTAATGTTATGTTATGCTATGTTATGTTATACCGTGCTAAGTCATATTATGTTATGTTATCTTATGTTATGTTATGTTGTGTTGTTTTGTGTTGAGTTGTGTTATGTGGTGTTGTTATGTTATTTTATGTTATATTCTGCTATGTTGTTCAACGCATTTCACCTCAATTCAGTTCAATTAACTCAACCCGGCTCAACTCAGCCCACCTCAGCTCCCCTTATTTTAAAAGGTTGAATTTCAACCGCTGGGCGAACACTAGTTAAAATAAATTAACCGACGAAGACTTGCGTGCCGCTTGCGCTTTTTCTCAAAGTGTTTACTGCTGGTAAAGCCAAATAAAAATAAATTTGAAAACTATTTATTAAAACTAAAGTAAAATCTGTGGGAAACTAACTACCTTTTTCGCAAAATCTATAAAGGACCCCTCTATTTTTCAGAAAAACCTGTGTATATCTACTTGAGACTTGGGACAGAAAGTGTGGATGAAATTAGTTGTCGCGAGATAAAATTTTTTTCAACATTTCCTGACTCCTTGATTGGTTGATTAGCGAGTTGTGTCCTCGAGTGCTTACAACACCGCAAAAAACAGTGAGTGCTTTAAATTTTGTAGAAAAAGATAGTAATAGATAACATTCAAATCGGTAATATTCACACTGTGCCCTTCAGGGATCTCAAGTAAATACAACGGGTTAAAACCTCAAAAGAATCCTTTTCTAGAAACGTCATTCTGGCCCCACAGAGAGCAGCGCTACTTAAGGGAGGGAGGTTGTGGTTAAGTGACATTCTAGCCACATACTTAACATTCCAAGGCCCCGTATCTTGTGAAATCTGTAATAAGTCTAAGCAATTTATGACGTGCGATGCCAGATCAACGCAATGTTATATCTGCAGGTTAATACCGTATACCTCAGCCTAGAAAATATTTGCTAAATCTAGAAGCCACATAAATAACAGGTTCTTATAGGCCAACCAAATATTCACGCACGCCGCCAATTTACTGTCAAAATTGAACGATTTGCATATGAAGCTAACTCAGGTTCCAATTTTTGTTCTGATTGGACGTTTCGCTCAATGAAATCAAATGAAAACGCACGCAAGCCAATTTCGGGTGACGCAGAAAAACTAATTCGACGACGTGCGTACCAAAAATAATGTAAGGCGATTGAATTTGCCAAATAACTAATTTTTTTGCAACTTATTCCCGTTAAGGGGCACCACATATGACACCACAAAACTGTTAATTATAGAAGTACTACATTTTTTTACGAGTATCTTAGTGCTAGTAGAAACTTGTTTGAGTGTTTTGTATAAAATTCTTCCTGCTACAAATTGTGTTAAAAAATGTTTTCTTTTCAAATGCTCACAATATTTTTAGAAAATAATTATTATAATATAATTATTATATTATAATCTATCGTCATATTCTAAAGTCCTTTTCTTTTCAGCAGAATTGGAACTTTTGCCTAGTAAACGAGTGCATTTTGCCATTAAATGCCAGAGATTACTCGAATATTTATCGAATACGTCACTGCAATGTAAATATTTATTATCCGTTTGTTACACATACAACAAATATGCAGCAGCAAATTCATCACTTTCAACAAATAACAAAAGACTTAAGCAACAAACTTGACACTTTCCAAATATGGCATAGCGCTTTGAAGTGTTTACCAGTAACTATTAAATGGCAATTATTCAAGTATTTTCCATGCTAGATAGTTAGATGAATGCATGAGCGCGCACACACAATAAATTATTAAATCATATTTTCCACTTGAAATTGCAAATTGTTGCCAACAACTCAATTCACTTGCAGTTAGCAAGCGCACTCGAGTGCGTAAACACGCCGTTGTACACGCGCGCGTTGAAAATAAAAAAATAAAAGCAAAATGAAAAAAATAAATAAATAATCATAATTAATTGTAAACAAAAATAAAAACAAGCCACTACAATTATTTCATTATAAATGCACTTGCCATTAGGAGCAAACAATGAGGCGAACTAATATTTCAAAACGTAGAATTAAGTTAAGGAGGGCGAACAAAACAAATAAATGAGGTATGATGCGGTATGGTCAACAACAAAACCTTAGTGTTTACTTACATACTTCCTACTATCCAACAACACAAACGACTTTATTTAGCGCCCACTCAACTCATCTGCCAGCCGGCATTTGCACAGCTGATAGACCGCCAACTGCATACATATCTAGCAAGCGCGTGTGACGCGAGTGACAAGCCTTTACACGCCTGCCTGCCTGTCACACTGACTAATACCGTTCGACGGGAATGTTGTGTGTGTGAGTGCAAGCGCGCATCACTCAGCTGAACAAGCGTTGGCTGTCAGCGCGACTATCTTTAGATAATGCAGCAATGTTGATGGTATTTGCGCGCAATTACATACATACATACATACACACATACAACGTAAGGTAAACAAATAAATTTATCTGCTGCCAATCATTTGCGATACGGTTGTATTTAAATATGTAGTTAGTGTAAAATCCGATAGTGCCGCCATCACATCATAAGCTAGTAAATACGTCATTAATTTCATTGAGTAATTTCACACACATACATACGTACTGTTGTTCTCATTATTATTATTTATTGTTCATGTTTTATTCTACTACTCGTTTAGTTGGAATCCCCAACAAAAGTGTATTGTAAATAGTTTCCATTGTACGCCTTCTTGTTTTTTTTTCTTGGCAAGTAATAGTACGGTTCGCAGCATTTTGA